TATATATATATATATCTTTTTTTCTTTTTTTTTTTTTACTTGACGATAGAGTGGAAATAAACTGAAAATAATAATAATTAAAAAAAATCAGATTTATAATAGCCATGAAATTTGTAGATATTAATATTTTATAATTTACATGTATATTTATATTTTAACGTTATCATTAATATTATCATTCAAATTCATATTTTATTTGTATATATTTTAAAGTTTAAAATAAGTTTTTCTTCAATATATAATTACATTTTGTTATCAAGTATTGTGAAATATTGGTATAGTTATCGACGGCCCTAAAATACTAAAACTAAAATAAAAATAAAACTGAAATTTAACTAAAATGAACTAAAACGTAAATTGAAGAATAATAAAAAAAAAATCAAATCAAAATTAAATTCGGAATTATAATAAAAATAATACATTATCGTTAATATTATATATTTTTATAAGTTTTATAAGATGCTGTTTTTATTCAATAGATGGAAAATCAAAAATGGTATGACAAATTGTGAAATACTTGTATAGTTATTGGCTACTCAAATTATGCTATTGTGACAACGTAATATACTCAGTCTTAACATATCAAAAACATACAAGATGAGAACAAACGTGTTAAAAGCAAAGCTCTTCTTCTGGTGCTGTTTCATGTCAAAATTCCCTCTACACAGACCTGAAGCAACATGGTGTTTTCTAAAGCCTGAGTCTATCTCCTCCTCACAGGCCTTTTTGTCTCCATACACAACCCTATGCAAGTGCAGCTGGGTCAGTGGAGCTCAAACCATTGAGCCATTCATCACAGGTGTCTGCAATTGTTTGGGAAACTGGCAGCCATCCTGGCTCTTTGCACAAACCGTTTGGCCGGAGCCAAAATGGCCCCTAGCAAATCACACATTACTAAAGAGTTTCTGCATTTTCTCTCTCTCTCGCCATCAGTACCATCACAGAGCAACTTATTTATTTTTCCCACCAAGGCATTTGCACAATTTAAATTCAGTGTGTAGAAACGACAGGATATGGAGTGTCATTATGCTTGATTGGATGGGAGAAATTTAAAGGATGGTGAAGAAAAAACAGCATGATAGAGCAATCATAAGTTAATTTACTGTAATGTTTAGAATGGCTGCTTTAGTGAATACTCCTCCATGGAGCTGCATCCCCTTTGAGAATTGGGTTTGTAGCTAACAGGCACTGAATTCAGAATAAATCAAAGCACAAGTCATACCGGAAAAACATAATTCAACACACTGAAGGAAGGCTGGGGAAAAAAAGTCTGATGAAATATGAAGAAATTACTTAAATGACCTAAACAAACTTTACAGTTTGAATAAACTTTTAGACAAATAATTTGCTGTATTATCTATCAAGCATAATGACATCTGTCTGGTGAGATATGCACTAGTATTATAAAATGTAAAAAAAAAATATCTACACATAAATATATATTTTATATACAAAATAACATATACAGTTGAATTGTTTGGGTTTGGAAAAATGTTTTTCAAAGAGTCTTTTATGCTCATCAAGGACACATTTGATCAAAAATACAGCTGAAATATTGAAATATTATTGTGAATATATATAGGGTTGGTAAGATGTCTTTAATGTTGTCGAAAGAAGTCTTTTATAGGCTCACCAGGGCTGTGTTTATTTGACAAAAAATACAGTAAAAACATAAATATCGTGAAATATTATTATAATTTAAAACAGTTTTTTTTTCAATTGTAGTATATCTTAAAATGTAATTTATTCCTGTGAAGGTAAATCTGAATTTTCAGCATCATTACTCCAGTCTTCAGCGTCACATGATCCTTCAGAAATAATTATAATATGCCAATTTGGTGCTCAAGAAACATTTCATATTATTATCAATCTAAAAAATTGTTATGCTGCTTAATATTTTCGTAGAAACATGACACTTTTAAATGGACTCTTTGATGAATAAAAAGCTCAAAAGAACAGCCGGGATTTTTCTTTACCATTACTTTTGCTGAATGTAATGCACCCTTTCTGAATAAAAGCATGGAAAATATTACTGACCCAAAACTTTTAAACGGTAGTGTATGTATATTTGAGACCTACCAAAAGCAATAAACAAATAAGCAAAACAATAAATAAACCTATGGCTTGAATTCATTCAGTAAGTTAACATGCACATGAGTGTGTTTGAGTCTTTATATACTGTATATAGAGTCAGAAAGTGACGTATTGATTTTGAGAGCACTCTGTGCCCTTCTGCCCAGGGGGAGTCTGGGTAGCCCTGGGGGCTGAGGTGTGCCACTTTACATCATTTATAAGGGTTATAATAAGCACACAGAGCTCCAGAGCTCCCTTATGACCCAAAACCCACCGCTCCTCTTTATGCTACCCTTTCATGAAAACCCACGGTCTTGCTATCCACTGAGACTGTGTGCAGTGGAGGCGCTTCACAGACGGGCCACTTTGAGGGGTCGAGATGCGGTTGAATGCTTTGGGTAACATGAACCAATGAAGCAGTTGGAAGTTCTACAGCTGTAACTTTCCAGTCCAGATCAATCATGGAGATAAATCTTAAGAGTACCAAAACTATGACAAGAACTTTTGCAGCTTATGTCCCTCACTGAACTAAGCGGAAACAATGTCCATTTTCAGTAGCCAGTAAGAAAGTTTATTTTTCTTTCCACACTGCAGACAGATAGTTTTTTTTCTTTCTTCTTCTTTAAAGGAATAAGTTCACTTAAAATGAACATTTTGTCATCATTTATCCACCTTCAAGTTGTTCTAAATATGCACTAGTATCTTTCTTTTGTTGAACATAAAAGAAGATATTTTGAAAAACGTTGGTAACCAAAAACGGCCTTTGACTTTCATAGTAGGTTTTTTTTTTTTTTTTTCCCTCCAAGTCGGCGGATACCATCAACTGTTTGGCCACCAACATAAAAATCGATAAAAGTCTAAAAATATTTGTTAGATATCTGAAGTCATTTTAAGTTAACTAAGTAATTTATATTTCTCCTAGAAATGAGACAAAAGTACTTATAATATACACTATCTTTCCAAAGTGTGTGGTTGGTAGTTTTAATGTTTTCGAAGAAAAGAACAGTAAAAGAAACAGTAAAAACAGTATTATTGTGAAATATTATTATAGTTTAAAATAACTGATTTATATTGTAATATATTTTAACAAAGATGGATTTCCAGCAACCATTACTCCAGTCTTCATTGTCACAAGATCCTTCAGAAATTATTCTAATATGCTGATTTGGTGCGCAAGAAACATTTTATTATTATTATCATTATTATTATTATTATTATTATTCACAATGTTGAAAACAGTTGAGCAGCTTAATATTAAATAAATACTTAATTATTATTTTGATACTTTTATTAGGATTATTTGATGAATTGAAGGTTCAAAAGAATAGCATTTATTTGAAACAGAAGTTTTTGGTAATATTACAAACCTTTACTGTCATTTTTTATCAATTTAATGTGACCTTGCTGAACAGAAGTAATAATTCCTGAAAACACACACACAGATATATATATATATATATATATATATATATATACTGTATATATTAGGGCTGTCAATCGATTAAAATATTCCATCGCGATTAATCGCATGATTGCTTAATCGCACCATTTTATCTGTTCTAAATGTACCTTAAATTAATACTTTTCAAGTTTTTAATACTCTAATCAACAAGGGCATGGACAAATATGGATGCTTTATGCAAATGTATGTTTATTATTGGTAAAACCATAGTCAACATAGAGCATGAAGTCTAGACATGTTTCAAAGGTCATAGATGTTTTTCAAAGAACGTGTTCATGTCTATTAGACACATGAAAAAAGAACAGAAATACCAGGTTCCCATTACTTCTCTTTCTTTGCCCTGAGCAATTTACTTACACAAGCCTGTTTACATTATTTGCAGGACAGGGCAGCTCACTTCTTCTGAACATGCAAAATGTACATTTATTATTTATTATTACATTTGTTTGCCTCTCTGTGCCCACATACTGTATTTTGATGCAGCTAAATTCTCAATAAAACTGATAAAACATTGATATATTTAGCTGTTTCTGTTGTCAGACAACCGGATTAATATCAAATAGTGACTGAAACGTGACCCATTAAGACCACATAACCAGCTCTCACTTCCAAGATGTTAATCTGCACAAAAATCCTGATTTATAATCGAGCTGTCATCTGATGAAATCAAATAGGCTACACATAAGATAAAGACAATAGTTGTGCTGTGATTTAGGCTATACTTGCATGTAAAATTAGAGAAGCAACAATATATGTGTTGATCACGTTAATTGCGCGTTAATAAAATTAGTGCCCTTAAAATGAATTTGCATTAACGTATATGTGTATGTATGTATGTATGTATGTATATATATATAGATATATA